CGTTGGTAACTCGTAGGGAACTTGTGGGTCACCCCGAGAGGGTGACTCTGGGGTCACCATCATTCTCAGAGTGATTTCGGCGTTTCGAATTTTGGGATGAACTGGGCAGGAGCAGAAAAAATGCCTCACCCGTAAATTACATTGTTGCGCGGCTTGGTGAGAGTTGAGGGTCGCGCACGATAAAGAGGGCCCCAACACCCGAGCGTGAGCCACGCTAGCGTCCACCATGACATCTCCGTCCGCCTGACATAAAAAAATAGAGGCAGCCGCGAAGGGAGAAGGTCAGTGGGCCCAGGTTTCCGCGAGAGCCACGCGCGCACTGTGGGGGGTCCACAAAAGACGGGATGGGGAAAGGGGAGGTTGAGCGGGCCCATACGGGCGATATGCCAACGAGTAAATCCCTGCCCCGTGTTCCCGAATGCGAGTGGCTGCGCACCGTGGGAAAATGCGGAATTACGGGAGTTGAATGGACTGATGTAAGCGGAGTGGTAGGTTTGGTTTTGTTTGTACAGTGTTTTGGTTTCGCTCAAATGACCCCTTGTCTCGTGAACCCTTTCGCTGCTCGTGGTCCTATCACAGCCTTCCCTGCCCAACCAAGCGTAATATGTTAGAAAAAGTGAGACGCGCGTTTTAAGTATTTCGGTTTCTTATCAACAATCAGGATAATTTGCCCTTTCATCATGACTCTGCTCCTACCAATCTAGAGGAGGGCCATCGTGGAAAGAAGCCATGAGTGGGATGCTATGAGTGTTGCAGTGCATGGGTTCAGACGAGCCGATGTGCCCAACATCCCCATCAGCAAGCAAGGGGTTAATGCCATCGTTGTTACCATACCATAACATAACCCTTCACCACCATATCAACTACAGGTGCCCACAATTGCTTCATGAAGATGCTTTTGCCTTTAAATGCACCAACAACTGTGGATCAAATCAGCGACAACCTATCAATAAAAGCAAAGACAACACATAGTCGGCTTATAAACCATCCTCTAACAATCCTGTTGTGTCTCCTCCCTTATAGACAGCTGCCTTCTCTCTTCCCTAAGTGACAATTGCTTCTGAGCTAGCGAGCCCCGATCCCCACCCACCTTCTGCCACCTCCTCCCACTACCCAACCACGTCACAAAAAATGGGACGCCCAAAAGCTTTCAACAGTTGGCGTATCCAGCAGGCATGCGCACTCGGGCATGGCCTAGAAAGCTCTTAGCACACAAAGCAATCATTTCGTGCCAAGGAATGCAGATGCACTGTCACTGTGTAGCTGCGCAATGGAATCCCTTTCACATTGTGTTTTCTGGAGGGGTGCCTGTTTCATTTGTGTCTTCGTTACAGTAGGCCTCGCATGTTGATTTGGAAGTACAGTTATTTTTTCGAAAACGGCAAACAATCGTGACTAAAGGAGAAATGTGCACCACATAAGGCGTTGCTGACGCGTCAGAAACGGAGTGGATGGTACCCTGCGACGTCACAACTGGATGTGACAGCGCGGATGAGACTAGGGGCTTGGTGACGCACGACTTGCAAACTCAGGGTTTCATCAGTCACCTTTCGCCAGCCTTCGTCACGCGGATTTCGGATCAGGGCCGTCGATTCAAGGGATATGGCCTTAATGCCCTGAATGGTCTGACTTTGCCCCAAAGTCCAGATTCTCAGGGTTGATTTTTTGTACAGCCCGGAATGATAACGGGCGTGGGCTGGGCCTTCCCTTGATTCTTACAAGGGCCTCTTAGAGGGTTTCCCTGATTCCCTGCGGAGGTTTCCGGCCTTATCCGAAAACTTTCACAGCCCTTCCCCCCCCCCCCCCCCCCCCCCCCCCTCTGCCCGTTTTTCCCTTTGCATCCCATCCCATCCCATCTTATCCCAACCTACCGTGAAAATGCTAGATTACGACGTGGACCGGGCAGGTGTGTACCAGATCTTCGACGGGGAGAAGCGCCGCAAGCCTGCCACTTAGTTATCAATGTTGAGAAAGTAGATAGGTAGATAGCAGTTCTAAATTAACTCTGCCTTTATTAGTTCTCGTTATATAGAGTTTGCCCTGATTGTTTAAGTGTAGCCATGAATTGAAGTTTTGGTTGGGTGCTTTCCCGGACGCTTAAAGGCTCGGAAAAGGACACTTCCCGGAGATTTCAGGGCTGAAATACGGGCACCTCAGACTCTCAAGTGTTGGCCTGGAACCAATCGACAGCCCTGTTTCGGATCCATTTTCGTGTTACACCCCACACTACACGTCAGAACAACTTCTCGCCAACCTGCACGTGCGACACAACACCACAGCAACGATTGTTGGTGCGCGAGGAGCTTCCTCATGCTTCAAAGTGCATCCCCAGTCCTCCTCGCTTCATTTTCTCGCCATACTTCCGCTTCTGCAATCATTTGCTCCGCAATGTCTTATCACCTCTGCCACTTCAGCTTCTCGAGTCAGTTGCTCGTTTTTTCATCGCCTGGACTGGAAGTTCGGACGTTCCTATAGCTAATTTCTTTGTTTTTCCGTTTGTGGTCTTCTGTCCTCCTGCTGCCAGGTCGTCAAGGGACTGCTTCGCAAGGCAGTATTAAGGAAGTTATTCCGTCAGCTTCCATGCCTGCGTCACTGGCGTTACAGTCAGACGCGTATAGTCGCTGCGCGAATCGCGTTGATATCAGGTGAGTTTTTTCATGCCAACGACGCACTCTATAACATGCATCTTGTCTGTGCCTTCTATATTTCCAGGATAAGGAAATTCTGTGCAAGGTGAAGAAGCAATCTACGATCCCCCTATCGTTTCGTCTATGGTTCCGAAGTTATATAAATCCCACGTTATCGGGCACGTCAACGCCAAACAAGTTTTGTAAGCTCGCTTTTGGTGCTCGATGGTCTTTGCTGACTAATTGTATTTGTTGGCAGCATGTTGCAGGTATGTAGTATTGTAGGTTACCTTGGTATATGATAATTTTGATTGACTCTGAATTGTGCGTTGGGTGTCTCATGAGTGCTGGTAGCATGTTGTAGGTTTGTTGTGTCCAATGTGCAGTTAGATTCTTCAAGAGCTTAAATATTGCATGGTATAGTTTTGTCTGGTGTGATGTTTCGTAATGCATATTTAGGCATCCAAATGATGTGAAATCTCTTGCCTTGAACGTCCAAAAAATCTCCAGATTCTTGTGGCACTAAATGTGCTAACATAACATACGGTTTTTAGGTTTTGTAGCGCAAACTGCATACAATTAATTAATCTACGTTTCTAAATAAAAATAGGATGCGTGTACTGCAGTAACCGTTTTGATTCGTTACAGCAGCCTCTTATAGTTTGCTTTCTAGTTGCTGTAGGGAGTATGTGCACTGCTTGGCGTATGCTGATTCACTCCTTGCCGAGCCTGATAGGGATTGCCAAAACAAACCACACAATGAATCCTCCAACACTCCTCAACTGTTGAGCATTCCGCAAGATAGACCTGAAACATTGGTGCCTCGGACAATCTTCCAACAGTGTTTCAGCAATGTATGCGGAATGATTTCTCGCCAATTTTTTTGTGACGCCCCGTCCTGCCCCTACACCACTTACACTACCTCCCTTGGTCGTACTCGTGTTATTCTCACTAGAAGACCTTGTGAGAAACGCTCCCCCTGCTCCACTCCCTCCCCCTATACCTCCTCCTCCCCCTCCTGCCGCTCCTACCGCTCCTCCTAGCCCGCCGCCCATACCAACACCAGAGTAATCAAATCCGGCCATATCAAAGAGCTCCAGCACCGGCTGTAACGCGGTTACCACCTCGGACATGTGTGGACGCTGCTTGGCCTTGCGGGTGAGGCAGTCCCGTGCTACAGCCGCCACCGTCTGAGCGCCCTTCACGTTGTAGCGACCTGACAAAGCTGGGTCCATGATTCGATAGAGCTTGGAGGGCAAGGCGAGAAAGGGAGCCGCCCACTCTGCCAAAGACTGTTCTTCTTTCAGTCTGCGGTGGAATAAGGGAGCCAAATGGAGGGAGCCGTGATACCACACAAGGAGGGGGTTCAGAGCGGTGAAGGAGGGTATTAATGGTGTCACAGTAAGAGCCCAGGGGCTCACGAATGGAGGCAGTCTCTCGCTATTGCCGCTGCCGCCTGAGCGCCCTTCACGCTGTAGCGGCCCGAGAGAGCAGGGTTCATGATGCGATAGAGCTCGGAGGGTGAGGCGAGGAAGGGAGCCGCCTACTCTGCTGGAGACTGTTCTTCCTTGGTCCTACAGTGGGTCTAAGGGGGAAAGGAAAGGGTGGGGGGACGGGAAAAGGAGAGGGTGGGGGATGGAGAGAGCAGGGTCCATAATTTGGTAGAGCTTGGAGGGCGAGGCGAGGAAGGGAGCTGCGGTGGCCAGAGACTACTCCTTCTTGGGCCTGCGGTGTGTTCGTGGAGGAAGAGAAGGGCGAAGGGCGAAGCAAGGAAGGGGCTGTCCACTCTGCCAGAGACTGCTCCTACCATGTTGACTCGCATTGATTGCCATTGACTAACCTTGATATATCTAGAGCCAGCCGCTCTGTCATGAGCTCTAACAACACCACTCCGAAGCTGTACACGTCACTCTACACCGTCAAATGGCCTGTCAGAACGAGTGCCTACTCCCATTGACTCCTGTTGACTTGCGTTGATTGACTTACCGTGACTTATCGAGTGCCAGGCGGCCAATCATCAGCTCTAGCAGCACGACGCCAAAGCTGTAAACGCCACTCTTCACTATTAGATGACTTGTCAGAACCAGTGCCCACTCCCATTGACTCCTGTTGACTTGCGTTGACTTACCGTGACTTATCGAGTGCCAGGCAGCCAGTCATAAGCTCCAACAGCATCACTACGAAGCTGTACACGTCACTCTTTACTGTCAGATGCCCTGTCAGAACCAGTGCCTACTCTCATGACTCCTGTTGACTTGTATTGACTCACCTCGACTTGTCAAGTGCCAGGCGGTCAGTCATCAACTCCAGCAGCACCACTCCAAAGCTGTACACGTCACTCTTCACTGTCAGATGGCCAATTTGCACCAGTGCCTACTCCCATTGACCTGATATGACCCACCTTGATTTGTCGAGTGCTAGTCGGCCAGCCATGAGCTCTAGCAGCATGACTCCGAAGCAGTACACATCACTCTTCACCGTCAGATGCCCCGTCAGCACGTACTTAGGGGCCGCATAGCCCACCGTGCCCACTGCATTGTGGGGGCGGGGAGCAGGAGGGGTGGGGAAATGGGGAGCATGAGCTCCAGCAGCACGACTCCAAAGCTGTACTTGCACTCTTCACTGTTAGATGCCCTGTCAGCACGTACTCAGGGGCGACATAGCCAACTGTGCACACCACATGCAGTGGGAAAGAGCGGAAGGATGGAAAGAGCAGGAGGGTGGGGAAGGGTACTCCATCCACACGTCACCCTTCACTGTTAAATGCCCCGTCGGCACGTACTCAGGGGCCGCATAACCATGGCCACCTAAACATGCCACCTCTCCCACCTTGGTGTGTCTCTGCACATTGTGTATCTCTTATTGAAATTGGTTCAGTTTCGAAAGTGGTTTGGTGTGCTGGAAGTCTGTTTTCGTTGGTGTTCGAGTCACGTGGGCTGATGGGCGAATATTGCTAGTAGTCATGAATTCGGTAACAACAGCACAGTATACCTGGGGAGGCTACAGTACCTCGTAAAAACCCTAAGCCTAGGTGTGCAACCAGCATTGGTTTTTTTGTTTATCGAGAAGCAATACCGAACAAACTTCTCTCTAAGGGTACTGTTAGCACTGCTGGGACTAGCTACGTGGATTTTCAATCTGAGAGCATTCACTTATAATGTTGGTTACGAAGTCGAAACGTGATTGGGGTTGATCATTATGCCAATCACATTTCACATTAAAAAAAAACAAAAAAAAAAGGTGTTTGCCAAAGCCATGTGCCTTCCAAGCGACTTCATGGTTTCTACAGGATGGCTATGCCGTGCGCTAGCACGTATGGGCATGTCATCCTACCAGAGGAAGGGTGAGGCAAAAGACGCCAATTTTGAATGCATTGGCCTAGCTAGAGAGACCATTCCAAAACTCTTTGGCTATGAGCCCTCCGATGTGTATAACATGGACAAAACAATATTTATTTTCGGTTGACAACCACGGTGAACGTATGCGGACGAATCGGTGGCCGGAGGGAAGCTTCACAAAGAGCGCTTCACCCTTGCACTGTGTTGCAACGCCGACGTGGTGGACTTGATGAAACTGACTGTGATCGGAAGGCATTGCATTCGACCTCATTCACGGATAATTTCCACGTAGACTACAAATGATACTTTTCGAACAAGCGTGCATGTATGACTTCAGAGGTAAGTTTGACTCCATTCTTTTCATGTGTTGTAACCTTCAAACATGCATGAGTATCGTGTGACAAGATTTCTGATCGAATCTCTGCGTGAAGTTTAATTTCTTGCCTACATTTTACCAAGCGGGTGGACGCGGTGGACGGCTCCATGAAATACATGGGCTGCAAGATCGCAATCTTAGTGGACAACGCTAGCTCGCACAATGTGAACAGCCTCGAGGGAAAGCGCGAATATTGGCGGGTGGACATCCGGATTGTCGAGTTTCCCAATTTGAGGGTAATTTATCTCCCCCCCAACTTCACATCGCACGTTCAACCCTTGGACCAAGGCGCCAACGCAACGTTGAAGTTGTGCTATCAGAAGCTTTTGGTTGCGCGGTTGATCGATGGGTTTGAATGGACGCTGTCAGAGGTCCACTGGTGATCCCCGATGATCCTAGGGAAGGGTTACAGGCACGTTGGCCTGGGGGGTTATGGGCGCACTCACCCGCTACACAAACAAGCCCTTTTATCCCAGTGGTTAGTGGCTGGGATTCTGACATGGTATCAGAGCGAAGGTCTCGGGTTCGAATCCCGGTGTGTGCACCTCGGGCATCCCAGTGCGGGGGGGTGTCAGAGGTCCACTGGTGATCCCCGATGATCCTAGGGAAGGGTTACAGGCACGTTGGCCTGGGGGGTTATGGGCGCACTCACCCGCTACACAAACAAGCCCTTTTATCCCAGTGGTTAGTGGTTGGGATTCTGACAGACGCGTGATCAAGAGGAACGTAAACCGATTCGGCCAAAGTTGCGGCTGGCCATTACGTGGATTTGCAGAGCTTGGAGCACTATAGGGAGGAAGATCATTAGGAGGTGTTGGCGACGTTCGAGCGTGGTGCCTTACAAGTGGTTGAAGGAATGGGGATTGGAACGTATCTTTCAAGGCTCGTCAAAGGATACGGAAGATGCGGATATCACATTACTGACCCGTTTGTTGTCAAAACAGAAGATCAACGAACCTATGATGAGCGTCAAGAGTTTGTTGCATATGACGCACACATTGCAACCTCTACTCGCTTGAAAAATGATGCCGAATGGGCGGGAAGGAGTTGGTGGACTACGGGACTCGGGAGCAGCGGTAATTTTTTTTTTTATCTGAACGACACAACCCCCTTAGAGGCACGTATGTCCGATGAAGATGCAGCAGGAACAACAACGGTGTTGCATGAGTTCGACGATGATTCGAGCATCTACCAGTACATTTTCCCCTCTACCGAACGCGCTGGTCCCTATAGCAACTTTATATGGAACTTCTTTCAGAAGATAATGTGGAGTTCACTTATGCCTGGCTTAACGTGTATTGTGGAGTGTCATATACTTCACGGCGTGGTCCCTTTGCATGCCCCTTCACGTTTCTGGTTTATATTATTGCTTATGTTGTTTGCTTTGTTCTTCTGTTTGTTTTCTCTATTGTACTCTTTTTTCTTTCACTTCAGCATTTCACTTCATCTCCCCTTTTTCACGCCTATTCTGCTCGTATTGTAGAGCGATGCTGAGTCAGCCTCGCCACTTCGCTTTCGATACGCGCTGACTCAGCGCACGTGAAATTCGGCACAACTGTTCTGTTGGGGATGACTTCACAACCCCCATAACATACAAACTCCGGTGTAAGATTTACGGGGTGTGAGAAAATCAAAGAACAGGTGGAATAACTGAATGCTCTGAGATTCAATATCCACGCAACTGTTCCCTGGCAGTGCTAAATTTGTCCAGTAGTACTTCTTGAGAGTACACCTGATGCTCGTTTGAGTCCCCCGTACTAGGGTTGTACTTTGGGCTTATAAGTGTTTTTGCATTACGACCAGTTCGCGGAGTTTCGCCAGGGTCTCAAGGTGCTTTCACAAGTTGTAATACGTTTGTTTTTTCCCGTACAGTGTTGGCTCGCAAGCCTTGTTGGATGTTCGTAAACCTGGTTACCACCGTTTTTCCACTTCAGCATTGCATGCAATTACAAACACATTCCATCTTATCGCAAACACTCTCTCCTAACCAACGCGCCAATTAACAAGCCACACTTGCACCCACGCAATGTCCATGTCATTGCTACATGTTGGTGTAAATGTGCACGAGTCTTGCACATTTACACAGGAGGAGACCATCCCTCCTCAAAGGGGTCTCAAGCCCCTCACAGCCGCATCCACTCGGCGGCATCCAGGTAGCCGCCCGTTACGGCGGGCGCCCCTGCGTCAATGAGCTCCTGGCGGCATGCCGCCTGCTGAGCCAGAGTGACCCACTCTGGCGTCGGCTGCGTCATCCATGCCCGAAGCACACGACCACGGCGACGAGGGGTCTCAGCAAGCGGAGTGGCGCCAAGGGGCATGGCGGGAGGAGGCGTGCTGTTCAGATTAAGAGCCGGGCTTGTGCGCTCCATCTGGCCCGTGATGATGGGCTTACGGATATCGAAAAGTGCGTAGAGCTCACGCGGGGTGATGCCGGTGGCCCTCATTTAGCTGATAAGCATCTCACTTGCGGCGCGCGCGTAGCGCAGTGCCTCGTGAATGGCGGGATTGCCGTCGTCGTAGACGGCTTTCATGCTGGCCGCTGCCTCCCACATCTCGGCAACCGGGGCAGACGTCGGCTCACCAGCGGGTCCTGGCCCGATTCGGCGCAAGTCGGCTAGTTGTCATCGATGCGCGAAGTCACCAGCCGGTATCGCGACCGATCTAAGGCCGAGGTGATCTATGAGAATCCTCATGTCGCCCACGGCCTCCTCGAGCTCGGTGTTGGCGGCACCGTTGCTGCCGTTGAAGCCGTTGCCGCCGTTGCCCCTGTTGCCCACGTGCTCAAGTTCCATTGCCCACGCACGCAGGAGGCACTCGGTGCGCCATCAGCACCGCTGTATTGTGCGACGCTCGACGTTCATCCAAGCATCGCACAACTAGGCGAACACGTGGCGGAGGTTCGACTTGTACCGAGCCATCGTGGAAGTTGCACCATCCGCCGACCACAGCGCCATGAAGGCGCTCGGCCAATGCGCACGGTACCGCGCCTTCGCCGTTGCAATGTTCCCCTGATCGAAGGGCTGGGTGAAGGCCGTGGTGTTTGGCGGCAGATACACGATGCGGACGTTGCTGAGCTTGCGCGTGCGGAAGCCAAAGAGGTATTCCGACTCAGCCTCTTCCGACTTGAGCACGTGGCTGCTAGCATTGTCCATCAAATGACAATGTTACGGTCCTTGGCGTACATGGCAATATTAAGCTGCTCGATGAAGTGAGTGAAAACCTGCGTTTTTGCGCATGTGAAAGAAAGAGAAGCACACACAATGTATTAATTGTAAATATATATCGAACACAAGAACTGGAAACCTGAATAACCAAAGACTGGATGAATGCGAAACAGTGGTATTCTACTGTAGCCCGTCCAACCCAATAACTCATCGGTATAGTCATCCGGCCCTTGGCCGTGCTGCGCTAATAGCAGAACTCGTCAGGATCGTAATGGGGCGGAAATCATGGGGCCGCTTAGCTTTCGAGAGCACCAACGGGCAGAGCGAGTGCGAACCGTCGGCGTTGACAAGAAAGCCGACGGTAAGGAAATCCTTGGGCACCTTCTGACCCGCCACGCGCCCGTTGCCGTAAGTCTTTCGGGGCAGCACGGAGATGTAAAGCGCCATTTCATCGAAATTGTACACATCTCGCGCCCGAACCGAGAGATGCATGAGCAACTGCGGAAGCTTCTTGCGAGTAGTTCGCACGACGGCCATTACCTGGTCAGCTGCCTTGCCGACGACGCTCAGACAACGGACACCCTGGCGGTGCAATGCACGGCGCATCCAACTGATCGAGCAGCGGAATGTCGCCGGCAAGACCATGCCACGTGCCATGGTCGCGACATGGTCGCGAATGGTCGCCAGCGTATGAGGGACGCCAGCCAGGCCTGCGTTGGCAATTCAGCGAGCCATAGCTCGCTCCAGTTCCGGGTGTGCGCCGGCCCGGACGCGGACGAGGTCGTTGTTTGTCGTAGTGGTGGC